GATATAAACTGTAATGATAAACTGTAATATATAACTGTAATATAAACTGTAATATAGAACTGTAATATAAATCTGTAATATATAAACTGTAATATAAACTGTAATATAAACTGTATATATAAACTGTAATATAAACTGTAATATAAAGCTGTAAATATAGAACGTAATATATAAACTGTAATATATAACTGTAAATATAACTGTAATATGATAAAGCTGTAATATAACCTGATAATATAAACTGTAAATATATAAATCTTTGTATATTTTATATAAACTGTAATATATATAACTGTAAATAATAATACCATTAATTAAAGTATTCATTTGAGGGTATTGATTATAAGTATTGATTAGAGGGTATTGATTATCTATACGCTGATGATATCCGGTCCTCCGGGCAGGGGGCGCTGACTGAAGGCAGCAGGTTGTCAACTGCCTTCGGCAGTAAACCCAACAGAAGAAGAAGAACCGTGAAGCTGTAGATGTTTGTGACGTTCGAGGAAACAACCGGATTTTACACGGAGAGTTTCAACCGTTAAACTCCGTTATTGATCCATTCATCTATTGATCTATCTATCGATCTATTCATCTATTCATCTATTGATCTATGATCGTCTTAGCTTCTGCGCTAGCTCCGGCAGCTCATTATCCGTGATGCGGAGTCGGAACCGGCCGGAAGAAGGGCCGCCCCCCCACTTCGACCTGGGGGCCCCCCGGGCTGGGCCCTCAATCGCACCGGGAGGCTGGGGCATCTGCCGCCGGGAGGGTTGGCCCTCCCGCCCCCGGAGGCTGGGGGCCCTCTGCCGCCGATGTGGGGCCCCACCTCCTGACTGGGATCCCAGGGGGCCCCCACCTCCCGACTGGGATCCCAGGGGGCCCCCCACCTCCCGACTGGATCCCAGGGGCCCCCACCTCCGACTGGACTTTGAGGAGGCCCCCCCACCCTCCCGACTGGGATCCCCAGGGGCCCCCACCCTCGCCGACTGGGACCCGAGAGGGCCGCCACCGGGCTGGGGGCCTCACCCCTGACGGACTGGCTGCCCCACCCCAGAGGACTGGAGACTGCACCCTGAAGACTGGGACCCCCCCCCAATAAGACGGCGTCCCATCCTGAGGACTGGGGCTCCTGGTTGGGGTCGGGGGGGTCTGAGGGTCCGCGACCCGTCCCCCCCCCCTCCTCTCCGGACCCGCAGCCTTCGCCCGCTGCTCCTCCTCCTCTCCCCCCACCCTGCCTCATGGGGTTCCGCGGGCTTCCCCCCCCCCCCTCTGGCCCTGGACCAAGAGGTGACGGTCTTTACTCCTTATTGATGCTGTGATTGAATATTGATCTGTGCACGAATATTGATCTGTGATACGATATGATCTGTGATCGAATATTGATGGGCTGTGATCGGATGATATTATCGCTGTGATTGAATATGATCGCTGTGAATGTGAATATTGATCGCTGTGATGAATATTGATCGCCTGTGTTGATCAGATAAACTGTTTCTTCAATGTTTCAGCCGGTCGTACGAGGAGCCGATGCCCGAACCCCCCCTCCAGACCAGCCTGAGTGGGTGAGTCCAGACCCGTCCAGACGCCGGTTCAGACCCGGTTCAGAGCTGCAGCAACCCTAATATTAGTGACACATTTATTGACAGATATAATTCTTTATTATGAGAATGTATTGATCAGTATACACTGGTATCTGTATGGATTATTGGATCCTGTATTGACAGTCAGAAACGCGTTAATACTGCAGCACACTAAGAGAACTAGAAAATCGTCGTTAAGAACTAAACCTGAATTCTTTGATTTGATTTGTGGTTAATTCGCAGTCTGCAGTTTGTTTTGGTGTTTCAGATTAAAGGCGTTGATTTCAGCTGCCGACGCACATGAATCCACTCCAGGTGAAACTAAAACCTAGCGAGACCCCCCCGTCACTACAGGCACCTGGGCCGGACCCGCCACTCCGCCGCCCCAAAAACCTAAACCTAAAGCGGAACCTCCATCCAAAACTGGCCAGAGCTCGTCGGCGCTGCTGGGAAAACGCACATTTGATAAGTAAGTCCTTCTGTTGATTGTTAATATCTAATCATTGAATGATTTATTGGGCTTCTTCTTCTTCTGTGGTGTTGGGAGTTGAATGCTGTTCTGTCCTCAGGCCCCCCCCCAGAGCAGGTCGACAGATCATCTGGTCGCTACATTGCGGGTTGCCATATACGGGTAAGAACGCCGACAGCCCGCCTGGCAATGCTACATGATGATGTCCGTCATCTTACCAATATAAAAACGAATAAATCACTGTCCAGCTTCGGGGCTCTGTCTTGTAAGATGCCGTTTGAATTTAATTGAATCCAGAAACCTGCCTTCCACAGCTGAAGTAAAGTAGATCCTTCAATATGTCCCGTTACCTCCTCATGGGGGTACCGACGCCCCCAAGGGGTGGGGGGCCAGACAATCGGGACGCTGTTACGTGCTGGAACTCCCAGAACCAAACCGGCCGTGTGAATAAACCAGATTCTAACGCGCGATCTCTGTACAATCAGAGACACGTTATCGGATCATCGGAGAGAAGATCTGGAGAAGTTCACCTTCGCTTTGACGGCCCCCACCGCCCCGGCCCCTTCTTTTGGAAACCCCAATCCATGCGCACGGAGCAGTCACATTCACTAGCTGACAGGAGGTGAACCGACGACATCATTAGTTACCCTAAAAGACACAAATACCAAACAATGAATACCGACAGCAATAATAAATAATAATTCTTAAACAATAACTTACCTGCAGACAATATGGTAGGGAGTAAGAATGGGTGAACCTGCCAAAACCATAAAAATTAGGAGATTTGCTTTTAAAAGTTTGAGCAAATATTACAATCTGTAAATAGATACAATTTTCGCAGACGGACACTGATCGTTCACAACCACTGTACTCTCGACGACGACTTGACCTGTCACAATCACACACACTGACTCTCACACACAGCTGACTCTCACCCACACTGACTCTCACACACACTGAGCTCTCTCCACCACACTGACTCTCACACCACACTTGACCTCAAGCTACACTGACTCTCACGGACACTGACTCTCACACGAGCCTGACTCCTCACATCCCAATCAGACAGGGTATACACTGACTCTCACAGCAAGCTGACTCTCCACACACACTGACTCTCACAGCACACTCCCCGACTGGCTTCTCAGCACATCTGAACTCTTTAATGCTTTAGATGTTCTTCATGAACTCCGGCTTAACTAACTGGATTCTTTTTAAATCCTCCTTTTAACGCATTTGTGTGTTTTAGGCTTGTGTTTGAAGAAAAACAGTCTGATCGGCGGCTGAGGTGGAGATTTGCTCTGCTTCCACGCGCTGTGAACCCATGAGAACAAGTGGACACAGAGATCTAGCGAGGCCGGATGGTCAGTTACCCATCACGGCCTCGAGGTCAGTTATTCTTTTTAACCCCGTTGACGCCTCCGTCCTGTTTCCTGCTTCCAGTTGCTGTCGTTGACCACAAAATGCTTTTGTCGGCTCCGCAGCCCTGCGAGCGAAACAGTCATCCATAGGCAGGAATTCCACCTGAGTGTGAACATATGTCAGGGCCGCATGAGGGACGCACCTGACTTCGACAGGAAGGACAGCACGGTGACGCTGCTGAAGAACGACGCCAGAAAGGCTCATTCAACCCCTGCTGACCGACATCGTCAGCACCAGAAAGAGGAGAGCCACCAAACATCAAACCCAAGATCCCCTCACCGTTAAGACCACCACCGTACCGGAGTGCCGGGAGCAAGGTGAGAGGGTGGCCCCAACCCGGCATAGCAGTTCGCTATCAGAATCAGACTCTGTCGGCCATGTAACGATGGTGATAAGCGAGTGTTTATTGGCCGCAGGGCGCAATCCGCGATCAGCTGAACGACGACGACTTGAAAGGAAGACATCCCGTCGGCATCCTATATACAACGCGGCGAGCTTGCCCGTTCGACATTAAAGTGAGGAACTTCAGCGACGTTGAGCTCACCGGCCGAGGAATCAACGGGAGTTGAGTAGTGTCCTCGGAGGTGAGGACGCTTGCACGCTCGCCACTCACAGAGGGCGCGGGCCCGGCTTATTTCCTTGTTCATGAGTCTACCTCTGCTGACTGGAGCAGTTAAACTCTCTATAAAACATTCTTCTGTTCGTCCTCGGTCTGAGATAGGGGACGACAACAGGATCCAGCGGGTAAGAGCCCCTGCCTTCTACGGCTCTGTCCGCCACCGCGCGCGCCGCCGCCATCGAGAGGAGCTGAAGAATAAAACGTTATTTGACCAGTGACGAAGACTTTTTCGCAAGCTACTCAGAGGGAAGACCCAACGTGAAGCCGGAGGTGGCGGCAACGTGGAGCTGACGCGAGCTGTAAGAGCATCGTCAGCCAGCACTTCCATCGATCCCCACAGTGGCGCGAGTCGACGAACGAGTGACGTCGGGCTTCACGGCTGACTTCCACTTAGTGAACTTAGCTTGTTATAGTGAATGTATGATGTTAATTGTGTTCTGCCCTGATCAGTCTGTCCCTGATCAATCTGTCCCTGATAGTTCTGTCTCTTGATCAATCTGTCCCTCATCAACTTCCATGATCAATCTGTCTTGACAATCTGTCCCGATCAATTTGTCTCTGTAATCTGTTCCTGATCAATCTGTCTCTGATCAATCTGTCCCTGACTGTGGCCCCTTTGTAGCCCATCATGCAGGGTTACCCAGGTCAGATCCACGCCAACATCGGCCCCGTCAGGACCAACGTGACCTTTGACCACCGGGACTGCGGCGTCACGCTGCTGAAGAACGACCATGTATTGATCAACCTGCTGGTGGACACGCACAGCAAGAAGAGGAGAGCGGCCAACATCAAACCTAAAATCCCCTTCACCTTCAGCTACACCAAAGAGAAGAGAGAGCTGGTAACACACTCATCATCCTCCACCTTCATCTCATACTGCGGTCAGAGTGACAAAGAAGAGCTGTAGAGTTTCTGATTAACTTTATTATCCCAACACAGTCACACACAGTGCAGGCAGCCACAGAACTACATTACTACAGTACTACATTACTACATTACTACATTACTACATTACTACAGTACTACATGTGCTGTAGTAATGTAGTAATGTAGGACTGTAGTAATGTAGTAATGTAGGACTCATTAGATAACGAGGTTCTGTCTCTCAGGGCATCATCACCTGTCTGGGAGCTGAAGAAGGAATCGTTAACACCGACGAGCACGGTGAGCTTCCTTTCGACATCTGTGAGAACTTCAGCGACACCGAGTTCAACACCACCGACATCCACCAGGAGGTGGAGTTCACGGTGGCCATGGTGAGTCTGACGGAGGACAGACGGCAGGGAGTGGACGAGTTTTATCTTATTTATCAGTTATCGTTAATCTCATTAGTGGACAGCAGAAACACTAATGATTATATGTTATTAAACTAACTAATCGCCCCGTCCCCATACTACTGCTCCTACTGAGTCCTCTTTGCCCCCCTTTAGAAGTTCTAGTCCAACATTTGGTTCCTGCTCTGGGACTCCAGCTGTTCCTCACACGAATGTGTGTGTGTGTGTGTGTGTGTGTGCTCCGCAGGTGAAATCTAAAAAGAGAGCCATCAGGCTACTGAGGACGAAGAGGGTCGAAGACAAAATCCTGAAGGAGCAGAAAAAACGAGAGGAAGAGGACAGGAGGAGAAAACAGGAGGAGGAGAGGAAGAAGAGGCAGGAGGAGGAGGAGCGAAGGAGAGAGGTGGAGAGGAGGAAGAAGGATGAGGTGGCGGCAGCGCTGTCAGCGGCCAAATGCAAGGTGATGACAACAAATGAAACTTTATATGTTGGATCGCAACCTTTCTCTGTAATACAGCAGCAGTTTTTAATTTAAGTATATAAGTGTATTATTTTCAGCTTGTATGCCTTTATTTGATAGGACAGCTGAAGACAGACAGGAAAGGGGGGCAGAGAGAGAGGGGATGACACGCAGCAAAGGGCC